GAATAAGTATAGTATAGCTGCTTATGCTATAGCTTCGATGCAAGATTGAGAAAAGTTTCGCAAGAGCAGAATTGAGGGAAAAAAATTAAATAAATAAATAAACAAAAGTAATTTGATCGTACGGCTTTCTTTTATGAAAACCTATTAAAAACTTTCGACTTTTCTCTAAGAATTTATTTGTAAGGCGCTAATAAGTATGCGACAACTATGTCCCTGTCCTACAGTATTCACTGCTTTAAATGGACAATAGAGAAAAATGAAATAAGCAAACCCATAAAAGTATGCTACAGGCAACATTTACATAAGAGACATCTATGAAGAGTGATTCCTTTGAGTCTTCTCTGTCTGGGCTTTATAGACATTTGGCTAGTCATTTGGATGACCATCAGCTGTAGCTTCTGCCTTCAAGCAGCCCCAATAAGTATGCTATATTTTGCACTCTGTTAGCCTTTAACAAGTTTTTCTGCCAATTAGGTAGTAAAATAAAAAATAATAAATAAAAAAAATAGAAGTTTATTCAATGAAAATATCGAATCTCACTTAAATATGAGCCATATTTCACATAGATGGTCTCTAAACTGTTGGAGAATTGTTAACAGGCATAAACTCAATTGGATTCAATTTCATTGCCTCGAGCACACATACACTCACACACATATACCTCTGCAAGAGCTACTATACATTGAGAGTGAGCGTAAAGCTATGCATAAAAAGCGAAACAATAGACAGATACAAAGAAGTTATAGTTTCCTGCTTCATAATTTGTCTTTTTTTTTCCTTGCGGCGTTTGCGTTTGTGTCGTTTCGCTTCGCTTTTCAGCTTAATTAAGAAATCCAATTAACATCATTGGCACTAGATGTTCCAGAATATGCGCAATTTATTTTATTTTATGTTGCCCACACACACACACACGCATGTCTCTTTCTCTCTCTATGCGTGTGTGTGTGCGTATATTGGTAGCCTTTGGCCTTTCTGCATATGTAGAGAGAAGCAGGATCTGTGTCGCCATTGCCGCCATTGATAACGCCTCTGAGTTGGTCATTGCGTGTGGCCTAATGCTAGCGTGTATGTGTGTACGTGTCTCTGTATGTATGTGTGTGTTTGTGTGACACGCAAAGTTCAAAACATTAACAACAATGACAAACAACTCGGCAACAGCAACAGCAGCTGCTTTTCCTGTTTGCCCATTCAATTTCAATGTTGTTGTGGGCGTGTCAGCAACACACCCACACACACACGCATGACCAGCTGATCAGCTTTATGTTCATGCATTAAAGGCGACAAAGCGAGAAAATGTGAATAATAAGAGAGAGGGAGAGAGAGAGAGAGTGTGTGAGCGCGCAAATAGAAATACGCCCAGCACTAAACATACTAGCTGGCAACAATAAATACAATAAACGCAACAACAACAACAACAGGAGTCAAACACGCACCAATGGCAGCACTGAGCACAGGGTCAACAACAACAACCAACAATAATAATAATTACAAAAACAACTACAACAACAGCAATCACTATGGGCCTGTCACTGCATTGAGCTCTGAGCTTAACTCTGCCATTTCAACTCAACTCAAGCGAGCTTAACTCATCGCATAGCCAAAGTCAAAGTCAAACTTAGCACAGCTTTGCCTGCAGCTCTCTGATATTGGCACTCTTTCGTTTTGCCGCTCTCTTTGTCTCCCTCTCTCTCTATCTATTGCTATTATTAGCATAAACAGTTACAACAATAACAACGGCTGCAGCAACTAGAGCCGACACACATTAAAGCAAATCTACTTAGCATTAAACCAATTCTACTTAGTTAAAGGGGGCAAGAAAGGACGATTCACACAGCTTTTGTGAGCATTTTCATTAGAGCGCACAAAATGCGAAAGCCAAACTGATTAAGGCCTCAATTCAAAGACAACATTCAGCCCCCACTCATGTGTACATACTTGTATAAGTGCACGAGAGCGAGACGACAGAACATACTAAGTATACACGCACACTGCAATGTACCTGCTTATAGTAAGTGTGTGTGTGTGAGAGAGAATGAGAGTGAGAGTGCGAGTGTTAATATGCAGATTAGAGATGGGCGCAGGCAAAAGCTTTTATCGCAGCCCTTTGGGCATCGGACAAAGCAAGACGTGCTTGGACCTCAAATTTCGAATAACGGCGCAGACAGAAAAGAAAAAACAACAACAAAACTGCAACAATTAGCAAAGCAACTATCAATAGAGAGGGATATTATATGTATGTATATGTACATATGTGTGTATGTATAATTATTTATTTATACATATATGTATATATACATGTATGTGTATACATATGTATGTGTTTACGTGTGTATGTATATAATATAAATTATGTATATTGCACGACAGTCATTGGCTTTGCTTCACGATATCTGTCTTCGTTCGCACGCCCATCTCTAAGGCAGATGAACTGTAACAGTTAGAGAGACAAATGGAGGCAGCGACGACCGCGACGGCAGTGCGACAGAGCAAGAGCATTAGAAGCGTAAGCAAAAGCAAAGCTCAAGCATCAACACACAGGCACGTAACGGGATTTGCGGCGCTGTGAGTTTCTGGTGGATTTTATAAACAAATATTTGGATTTAACGGCGAAATGCGAGCGTGCGTCTATGCGAGCGAGCATTATGCTTAATTTAAAGAAAATTTGTTGTACGCTTAAGTACCACACACACACACACACACAGGCACACTCTCGCTCTCTCCCTCATTATGTGTGTGTTGGTGCGTGCGTAGCTTAGCATTTACTTAGTTACAGTTAAACTAGAGCTCGCTCGCTCGTGCTTAGTCTAACACAATGAAAATAAATAAATAAATAAGAGCAAAAACAAAAAAAAAAAAAAAAAAAAAAAGACCAGAAAACCGCACCCAAGTCGAGATTACTTATCTTTAGTTTTTCATTTAAATATGAAGAGCCAAGTGCCCGTTACTCAGCGTGTGTGTGGCTATATCTATGTGTGTGAGTGTGTGTGGTGTACTTTCATTTATTTGGCTGCTTTTGGTTTTCTTTCTACTTTTACTTTATGGTTTTTATTTTCCTCTTGCTGTTTTTTTTTTTTTTAACGTTTTAGCTTTTTTTGCTTCTTTACACACAGAAATTCTTTACATACTTCGTCGTATTTGGTTTTTTTTTTTTTTTTTTTTTTGTTCTTGTTGGTGCCAAGCCTCCGTCAGCCTTCAGCATGGCCACGCCCACATCCACATACTACACGCCCAGCCCACCCACAGAGCGGCGCACTTGTGCGCCTTTTTATGTGCGATTTAGTATTTTAGTATTTTCTGATTCTCCCCCAATACAAACACTCACGATATATATACATATATGTATATAAACTTCTGTGTGTGTGTGTGTATATGTAAATATATATATACATACGTATATGAGCAGCTTAACTGTATATTTGGTGCTTTCAATTCCGGTTTTATTTCCAAGTTAGTTAGGCTACCAAATAATTGAATTTAGAGAGCCCCAGCTGGACAAGAAAACCAGATTCACGCACACACACACACACACACACACACACTCGCACACACCAATACATAGTCACATACGTGTGTCTATGTGATGACGTCAGCTTTCTTTGAATACGAAATGCGTCAAAACAAGCAGCAGCCGCCCGTTTGCCAAGTGGGCGTGGCACACACACCGTTAAGATGTGAGAATTGCAGAACAGGGGGCGGGACGATAGCACTGGGTCTTAGAGGTTGGAGCTTAGTTATGAGATTGTGGTTGATAAAAAGGATTAGGCGACCGGATTCTGATGCTGCTGAGGCTTCAATTGAGCCAATTATGATGACTGAATCAAATGTGTGTGAGTGTATGTGAGTGTGGGAGTGTGACGTCTGTGTATGTGTGTGGGTGTAAGTGTGTGGGTTGTACAATTCTCGGCTCTAGTTTTMATTTTATTATACCTAAAACTTTTATGACAACTTGCATTACTTCTGGCATTCAAGCCATGTTTCGATTAACTGAATTAAACTCCAGCAGAGGTATGCGCGACTAGCTGATACCCAGCACCTTGAAAATGTTTGGGATTTAATTTAGAGTTTCATTGAGAATCATATAAACAGATGTTTATAAATTTATTTTATTTAACTGAATATATTTGCATAAATAATTTACCAATATGTTGTAGTTAGTTAGTCAGTGAATATGCCCATCTAGTGGACAGTTAAGGGTATATGAAACGATATGTGAAAGGCAACTGAACATGAAAGGGCAAACGCATATGGATGGGGGATGAAGAAGGGTATGTGTAAGGGAATCGGAAAGGGTATGCCAAAAAAGTATATAAAAAGGTCTTTAGAGAGGTACACATATAGAAGGATATACGGTATATGTGGGTATATGGATAGTTTTGAGGTCATTTGAAAGGCTATTTGTAAGGGTAAATGGATGGAAACGAAAAAGGGCAAGAGAACTGAAAGAGTATATGAAAATGTTTATGTAAGGGCCTTCAACAAGGTATATACACGTGGGTGTATGTGAGGTTATGTATAATTATGTATACCCTATATATATAACCTTTATGTATACACTTTCCACTCCTTCAAAAGCAAGTGAAGGTTAATATATGTCTATTGGAAAGGGTATTTATAAGCTTAAAGATAAGAGTATAAAAAGTAAGGGTATTTGTAGTTGATAACCCCTCACTCGTTCCTCTGCACCACAAGCTAGTTTTGTTACCTTAGTCGCGCACAGGTCCCACACGTGTTATGCTGCCTGATTTAACTAGAAATACTTGAATACCTATGACGATAATGGTAATGTATGTGTAAACCGATAGCCTCACAAGCACACACACACGATATAAATATACTATAGACTATATATCTCTATATATATGCCCGATATGATGCATACAAATGCAATTTTCACTTAGAGATTTCAGCGACTTAATTTTTAGTTCTAGTCAAAGCACACACACACACATATATATACTCTATCTCTACCTCGCCCTCTAATTATACGATTTGTGTTTTAGCTCCGCAAGCCAGCGTCGACACTGTCAATTCCTGGCTCGATGAAAACACCTTCCATTGCGAACCGGGAACAGATCTCATCTGGATGCAACGAAGAAGCGGCCGAGGCTTTAGTGGGTATCCACTCCGACTACCCTAGGTATGAAATGTATGTATACCAAGCTCCGACCAGTACCACTCATACACATATGTATATATCTAGTTGCTAGACTTAGCCATCACATCAAATCGAACCTCCACACCCCCCAAACTGCCCACTTAGAGCGAGCGAAAGAAAAAAAACAACTTTGACTAATTGCTATGGGCCATAATTAGCTGTCAACGCCAGCAGGGGCAGATTATAAATGTCATACACACACACACACATACACGCAGCGTGTGTGTGTGAGAGGGAGAGAGTCGAAACTAATCCACAACAAATGGGAAAGTTATATAAAAAGTTTTTGCTAACTATCAAATCAAGTCCAATCGAATCGCCTCTGACGAGCATTCAATTTGTTTGTCATGTATTATAAAGTCACTTTGGCTATAGTCTATACACATACATACATATACACACATACACACATACACATACATATATTGTCATGTGTCCAGCTAAATCTCTGTCGTTGCCTGCGCAAGTAAAATACATTTTTGGCACAGAGTGAGGCATCGATACCCTGCATAGTTTCCTTGTTGGGAATGTGGTAGTTTACGCTAGCAGATGTTAAGCTTAGCTGATGTTAAGCTTACCTCGATATATATCGAATAAAGTGTTTGCTTTTTACTAATATTGTACCAATGATAGATACATGTAGGAAAAGTAATAATATAAATCTCTTTATTATCGATACCTATCGATAACATTCAAACATGTACTGTTACTTCGTATACACTTTGGTAACTATCGACATCAATCAGGCATTGTAGTATATTACTATAGAATTCGACAGATATCGATAACATTTAGCTGCAATAGCATTCCACCACATAAAATTTTCAATAACTATCGATTGTTATAATACACTACTAAGGAATTCGATAGATGAAGCATTCAGTTGCAATAAGTTTCTACTTTATATGAGCTTCGATAACTATCGATAACATTGTAACATGCTATTATAACCTTCTATTTCCTATTAACGTTTATAGCTACCGAAAACATTCAACAACCATAATTATCTATCGCTTCTCAAAAGAAGCGATAACAATCGATAACATGCAGCCAATAGAAATATTCTATTTGAAATTCCAATTAAAATCTATTTCACTCATATTTCGTATAGTCAATTATATGTTCAGCTATTTCAGGCATAATGACATCGGTTTACCTTCGGAATAAAATCAATAGCCATATAATATTGCAAACCAATTTGATTGTAATGCAATTTCGTTTGTTATGGCGCCATATGGTAACATTCCTCGGACTTCATGGGAATTCATTTGATATTCCATTAGATGGATTTACACACACACACATATATATCGATATGCTCATATATGGTTGCTTTGTCTACTCAGTATAGGGTATATACTAGTCTAGCATATTGCTCAAGTTGAATTGATTTTGGCAAATGGAACTTGTTATATGCAGCTGGCATTGAGGCAACTGTGCATGCATGCTCGTTCATGTCGTGAGTAGAGTATATAGGTATCACTGCATTCAAATGTTTCTGTAACAGGCACGGGTACTATGCAGTCGATCAAGCCCAGCTGCAATTTGCTGACTCTCTCCCTCTCTCTCTCTCTCTCTCTTTCTCTCGCTTGTACACAAATTGATGTGACACAAATTTTCATGAGCTGGCAGCCAACCTGTCATTCATTAGTCGAAGATTTATTAAGCAATGCCCATTCATATGCGCTCAGAGACAGACAGATAGATAGATAGATAGATAGATAGATACATAGATGGATAGATAGATTCATGTATGCAAAGATACATTTGCAAATCTGTCAATGTCTTGACCATCAAGTAGTTGGCTGGTTGGTTAGTTAGTCGCTTGGTTGGATGACTCGAGGGGCTGAAGACGACGATGTGGTGGCATGGTTTATCAATTAGCATTAAGTATACGGCCCGCAAACCACATCGATGTATTTTTTTGTTTTGTTTTGTTTTGTTCTTGTTTTCTTGTGTCATTTTACAGGTATATGGAAGAACGTGCGCTTACTGGCGGGAATACCTCCAGGAAGCCATCCACAAACTCGGCCAAACACAAACCGAATGTGGGCTATCGCCTGGGCAAGAGAAAAGCACTGTTCGAGAAGCGCAAACGCATTAGCGATTATGCCTTGGTCATGGGCATGTTCGGCATCATTGTGATGGTGATTGAAAACGAACTGAGCAGTGCCGGCGTCTACACAAAGGTGAGTGTTAATTAATGACAACTGACAACGGTGACGACTGCGAGGACTCGGCCAACTGATGAGTGGCGAGTGATGAATTATAACTAATCGAATCGAATCGAATCGAATCGCATTGAATCGCATACTGATGCGAACCGCCGGCTAATGAGCCGTGATGAATATAATAACTGGCAATGGAATGAAATTAAATTGAATTGATTCCATGACAATTGCGATGGAGAGGGAGAGAGGGGAGAGACAACTGTCAACTGCGCCACTCGTAACTTGTCAGTTGGATAAACGAGTCCTACTTAGCGAGTGGAATACATTGTTGATAATAATGAGGAGCACTAAGTGAAACAAAGAATAGCTACTCGATATTCGGTTACCAGAGTAGAATGAATTACTCACGATTTCTAATATATCCAATAGAGTGACAAGTGGAGTAGATTAAACAGGAGATGAGAGATGAAATTTCTATGTCAGTCAATATATATAGAATAGCTACTCGTTACTCTTAGTACTTTCAGTAAAATAGACAAGTACAAGAATAATGCAATGGAAAATAACGAGTAATATGCGAGGATTCAACTTCTTCAGCTCAGTGAAACAAGCAAGTAGAATCCATTCACTCGTTACTTTAGTGAATGTAATGTGTAAGGAACAGAGAGTGCTCGAAAGTAACGAGTAGCTGGGACTCGCTGTAATTGAGAATCCTCAATATAATTGATAAGGAGTGCTTTTTGACTTTGGAGAGGCAGCAAAGAATGAGCAGAGGTACTCCCTAATTAATCAAGAGAAACTCCCAACAATTCAAAATGGCAGGGAATCAGTTTTTTCGACTTGGACAGAAATTCAAATCATCGAGAAGGAAGGGGATAGAGTTTCTTTTTCGATCTATCTTGATTTTTAATTTATCGGAATGCAAATTATCGAGACTCGGCTGTATAACTAACAATTTCAACTTGCATTTTCATTTCGTTCTCTTTTGCAGGCATCGTTTTACTCGACAGCGTTAAAAACCTTAATATCTGTTTCGACTGTGATTCTTTTAGGACTTATAGTAGCTTACCATGCTTTGGAAGTGCAGGTGAGAGTGAGTGCAAATTGTATCTTCTTTTCCAGATGTTTATTGATGGTCGTCATCGTTATTGTTTAACGTTGCCATCGTTTTAACCGCCCGCCCGCCCGTCCGCCTGTCCGCCCGCCCGCCTGCCTGCCTGTCCCCACCCACCCCCACCACGCTCACTGTTATGATAAATCCCATACTCCCCCAACCCAAACCCTAAACCGTAAAGTAACTCTAATTCCACTCATCGTATCCAACTCTAGAGCTACGGCCCCGGGCCCCCTAGGGTTTCCCCTATCCCCTATTCCACACACCTCATTGCAGTTTGTTTGTTGTAAAGTTTGTGTGTTCTTTGTCTGTTATTTCTTCAATCTCAAAAGTAATTTGCCCGTAGCTCAAAAAGAAAACCAAAAAAAAAAAAAAAAATTAAATAAATAAGAGAGAATGCCAACAAAAGTAAAAACCAACCGTAAAAGAGAAAGAAAACAGAGTCTTGCACTTTGCATTTAACGTAATCGTAATCGTAATCTCGTTATCGTTATCGTTATCGCCAACGCCAGCATGCATGCCAGCTGGCGTTACGGAACGCAACTGTACCTAACACAAAGTGCAACACTTTGTTTATTGTTTTTATCTTTTATCTATGCATATGCATATGTATATGCATTCATATATATATTTATAAATTTCTTTATACTTTTGAATGTCTTTTTTTTAATATCAAATATCAAAATCCGTTCCGTTCATTTCACATATATAGAGCATATATATGTATACCATATAGAGAGTGCGTTCTATGAACTATGATCCCTAGACTCTTAGAGGTGCTGCTGCTCTCAGCTGACTAGAACAAACAGCAAAAATAAACAATCCATTAATCAATCAATCAATCGAACATCCTCACAATGCATTGTAAATAAGATACATTCAACATCCATCAATCAATCAATCGCATTCAAATAATATCTTTTTCGCATCATTTTAAGGCCAATTGCATGTATAGCACTCACCTCAATCAATCAATCAATCAACTTAATCAATCAATCTCAACTCTCTCAATCAGAGAATTGACCAAATTACTATTTTCTGTTCATTAACATGTACAGAATTCAGCTCAATCACTCGGTCCATCAGTCAATCAATCGAATTTCACTCTTTCAATCGGAGAATTCAACTCCATTCATTTCTCATCATAGTAGGGGCAATTGCATGTACAGCACTAAGATCAATCAGCCAATCAATAACTCAATCAAGCTCAATCAGAGAGTTAAATCCATTTACTTACATCTGAGGTCCAACTGCATGTACAGCACTCAGCTCAATCAGTCAGCGCAATCGAACTCCTTTGCCCCAATTCATTCCCTTCGACTCCTGCATTTGTCTTTCCTCAGTTTTACGAATATCTCTGTATCTCTATTTCTCTCAATATATATGTTTATATATACATCTTATCGAATCACATCTAAACAAAATGTTCGCATGAGTAACGGTAATTGATAAACATAGAATACCCAAATCCAGAGCATGAAAGAACTAATTAAACATTTTGTTATTTCTTATTTTATATAACATCTATCTATATATATATATATCTATATATTATTAACTCTAGTTATTTCAAATTGCATCTCGAACATGTCTTTTTCTTTTCCAATACATTCGATCACAAAACATTGCACACAATTTACTCGTATATCCAATAATATCAACTGATAATTCATAATCAAATACAAACTTCTTGAGAACAAATAGCAAATCTAGATGAGAAATCTATATTACATACATATATATATATAAAATTAAGCAAATAGAATTCGTTTCGTTTTCGACTAAATGAGAAAGTCCTGTGATATCCTGTGTTTCGCTTTTTTCGATTGATAATCTACAAATTGATGATGATGATGATGATGATGAAGAACCACCGCTCAATCTAACTATGATAAAGCTAATGTACATATATATGGATCTATATATATACATTCCTCTATCTGAGCCAAATCATTTGCCAAACAACAACAAAAAAAAAAAAAAAAAAAAGCATATATCGTCCATGATTCAGATTCCGTTTCAGAATACATAAATTGAATGTTCAATCATCTCCGATGCAAAAGACCAAATATCAATCAATCAATCAATCAATCAATCAGTCAGCTAATCAATAGCAGCTCTATATGTCATACAAATATACGTATATATATATACATGTTTATATATATATGTGCATATGTGTGTCTGCATATATAGCTCAACATATCAGTCGTCTCTCATACTTCGTTATCTTCATACTTTGTTATCGACTATATAAATCCGAATAAATGTTAACTCCCCCCCTTCCACTTTTTTTTAATGTTGATGTTTAAAGTAAAAATTTTAATATGTAATTACCTTCCAATTATGCTTTGCAGAATTCAGTAAGTAATACTTATATAATATACATCATAAATATTTGTGAGTAATTCCTACATGCATAGTGTTATGTACCCCATACATACTATATATGGTTAACAGTACCAAAAAAAAAAAAAACCAAAACAAAACAAACTAAAAATCAATTAAAAATAAACAACAACATTCAACATAGAGTAGCTTGACAACAACAACAACTACAACAGCCGCCTACAGCAACAACAACAACAACAACAGCCTACAGTATCAGCAACAACAATACGCCACATCTATACAGCTATATTCTATACATACATGTACCATWTACCTGCGACTTGTATTTGTTGACATTGTATGGAATATATTATGTGTACCAAACATGCTTCATGTACTCATACATAATATACCTAATGCTTGTGTGAACACATGTACCATGTACCTAAAGCTTGAATTTCAGTACATGCACCATGGACATATTACTTGTATATGTATACATGTATCTTGTACCTTAAGCTTGTATATATGTACACGAACCGTCATGTACCTAAAACTTGTATTTCTGTACTTAGTATTTATTTAGGTACATATATAATGAAACTATATATATGTAGATGTACCATTAACGTAATACTGGTATACTTGTATGTATGGTATATGCACTACATATGTGATACATGTACCAAATACTTGCATAAGTATACATGAGCTATGTACCAAATACTAGTACAAACCAAAACGAATACTAAATCCGCAGAGAACATAGCCAGGATTATTAGCAAGTCCACTTAAATGTTTAGTTGAAAATACATTTCCATGTTTGGCTGTAACAAATACGTTATTATGACGCCAGATATCGTTTTTCAAATTAGTTCGCTGCAAACTGTTTCCAACACATGTATGTGTGCGTGTGCGTGAGGAAACTATCGTTAAGGAAATCTATTACAATTTAAACATATTTCACAAGCATATTAATTAGTTTCGATCGCGTAACACGAATAATCCAATTGCTCATACAAAAATGCGTGCAAGCGATATTAATTACACATCTCTATGTGCATATATCTAACTAGCTCGCTCTAACCTATGACAATGGCCGCTCAATAGCGACTGAGCTGGCAACGATAGCTGCAGCTCTTTCACACGCGCATGCACACATGACTTGACAAAATGGCGGCTCAATACAATGGCGTACAGCTGATCAAGCTGCACTGACAACAACAACAACCAGAACAAGAACAAAAACAAACAAGAACAGAATGAAAATAACCGTTGCTTAGTTCTGCACCAGAAGCAATCAACCAATCACCGATTCACCAATCGCATTTGCGGGGCCATTTGTGTAGTGCTAGTCCACAACTGCAAAACTGCATATAGTATGTATGTATGTATGTATGTATGTACAATAAAGGGGAAGACATTACACACACTCAGACACACACACACACATGCATACATATACATAGACACATACACATACACACATATGAGCATTCTCATTGCTAAGTCGATTCGGTAAAAGCATCAAAAAATCCATTTTTTAATCACCAAGATTTGAACGGTGTTTCAATTTTCCAAAAATCAAATGAAGAAAGAAGAAGAAAAAAACACAAACAAATTCACAGGACTTTGTCAGAGCAGTGCGTGTATGTCTCTCTCTCTTTCTCTGTGTGTGTGTGTGTGTCAGGCTTAAAATCATAGCTAACACTTTATCTAGTTCTGTTCAATAGCTTCTCAATTATAGTTTTCTTTTCGATTAATCGGCTTAACTTGCGAATGACTCATATGCAAAAAAAATAATAATACAATACTCGTAGCTATCGTAACTATCGCAACAATCGTATTTACGTAACAGCCACAGCCACAGCCACAAGTCAATACTCTCGAACAACAACAACAACAATTCAAACTACTCGAATACCATACAACTCAATAGCAACAGCAAAGGGCTTGCCACGCCCATTAGCCAGCAGCTGTCGCTGCCGCCTCTTACCCTTTGCCCCAAGCAATGCTTACCCCCGAAATATCCCCCGAAACCCCCTCTCACGCAACATTCACAACAAGTGATTTGTTTATCCAATGTGTGTGTGTGTGTGTAGTGTAGTGTAGTGTAGTGTAGTCTATTCTAGTCTAGTGTACTCTAGTGTATATGCATATCTAGATGCTCCAATGTGCTTTTTAATGTTCGACCCGCTTCACTGTGCTATGATTAACTAAATTAACTATATACTCTCTATACGATCCTAAATATACCTCGGCTAGAAATCGTGTGAAAATGAAATAATCAACAAATTACCTGACCCGAATCGCAGTCAAGATTGAATCATGCTCGTTTATCATAAGTACGTTAATTATAACTAATAATATCTCTAGCTCTATCTCCATGGATATTGTATGTGTCCCTAATGTGATATATACGATATATAAAATCAATAAATACTAGGTGTATTTATATATGCAATGCATAAATCTATATACATATACATATACCTATTTATTACCTAAACAATTGGAAGTTCAAAAAATTGTTTGTCTTCTGCTTAGTATATATGTATTTATATATGTATGTGGATGTAGACAACTTGCGATTTAAATTTTTACCATTCGGAAATAAAAAATCTTAGAGATAATCCATGATATAATAAGAAATAATTGATTTCCATATCAGCTATAGGATATCATAGCCCCGATATGGCTTTATAAATATGATAAACTTGTAGATTTTAAGTCGGTTGAACTATGTATCCGAAGGATCAAACCTTCTGGAACTTTGGACGAACACTCTATATTGTATCAAAGTGGTTTGTAGCAAAGATTCTTCAACTTGTAATTCTGCAATGTAGTGAAGGTATTTTGGAATTGAATTCTGAATTCTAAAGAATTGTGGATTATACCAAAGATTGATTTGCCTCGAGCTCTGTTCTGATAAAGTTCTAAATTGCTCTAAAAGGAGGGCTGTAAAATCGACCTTATATCAATTAAGAATTGTGGATTATACAAAAGGTTTTTATTGTATCTAAAAGTCATTTATGTTCGGACTCGGCGTGTAACAAAGTTTTATTCATTTTTAGATATTGCACCAAAAACTTATCAGCTTATAACTGTGCACTATACAAATATTTCTTTAGCTTAAAATTCTAATTTGTACCGAAGAGCCTTTAGATTAAAATTAAGCATAATATCAGAAATCATTCTGCTTTGACTTGTGATTTCCATGTTTTATGTTTTCCGTACTATACCAAAGATCTTGACAGCTTGAAGTTCACTTTTTACAAAGTGTCCTTAAATGGTACCAAAGATGCTTAGCTCCTTAAAGTTTAAATTCTCTACTCTACCAAGAGTTCTTCAGTTTCATAAGGCTTTAGGTCCTTAGGCTCAGAGCTCGGAACTGTACCAAATATTCGTATATTTTTCTTCAACTCTGAACTCTGCATTGTACCAACTATTTTTATGCTGAGAATATGACATTCCACTAAAGGTTACAATGTCTAATACTCTGGGCTATACTAAAGACTCTAAAACTAAAAGTGTTTAGCTTTAAGTTTCTGCAATGCACCCTAGAGCCCTACAATGTACCAAAGTGCTTTACTATTCCGTACTCTGGCAAAGGTCCTTCAGCTTAGCACTCCGGCGCATGGCAACGCTGATGGGGGTTAAAATTCAGAATGGCTCAATTAAATTAGTCTTTTGCAAGTCTGGTCACACTCGCGCAGGCGAGGCACTTGAACGCCTTAAGCCACTTTGGTCCTGGGCAGGCCAACTGAATTAGTTAACGTTCGCAGGACGAGTGGGCTTCAGTAAAACTATTTGCGTATTGGCTGCCAAATACTTGACCCAATCGATTGCTCACTTAAGAGAAAGAGGGCGAGAAAGAGCGAAGGGAGGGAGGGTGCGAAGTATGTATAATAATAATGAAAGCGATTTGGCTTAGCTCAAGAGCTCGAGTGCAGTTGCAATCGATTTAATTAAATCAAGAGACTCTCATCAGAGGCGAATTAAGTGCCAAAGCGAACGATTTGGCTTAATTCAAAATTGATGTGAGCCAATTAAAAATCAAGAAAAAGGTAACACAAAAACAAAGCAATCAAATTAAACAAGAAAAATATAATAATAATAATGTGCTAACAACACGAGAACACGCACGTCGCCTACCTTTAAGCAGTAAGTACTTTGCACACACACACGCACACACACACATTCACACACACACACACACACACACCCACTCCCACGCACCTGCTTAGTGAGTTATGTTAGCTAAGCACAAGTAGGTGACAGCAGCACCACCGATAAGCCAACCGATAGATGCATCGACAAAGCAGTAGTTCGAAGCAGCAGCAGCAGCCATTAGCAGCTATCGTTATCGTTATCGATACGCAACCACAAGTTACTGCAAGCCCTACTGTGAAGGCTGGAAACAACAAACAACGGCACGTCATCGATAACAAGCAGCTATCAGGTTTTTGCCAACGCAATTTTTGCCATTATCGATAACATTATCGGAGTATTTAATAGTAATAACAATCCACTAGTCCGTTATGTTTCTTTCCAAAAAAAAAAAAAAAAATTCAGTGAGCAGCTAAAAGATTTTACAAGCCCTTGCAAACGATATCGTTATCGTAGGTAGCAATTATCGTTATCATTATGAATAACAAGTGGATAGCCCATTTTATTATCCTTATCGTTATCGATGCCACGATGCTAGCAGGTTCTTATATTATCGTTATCGTTATTGATAATACAAACTGGCAACTAGCAGCTTTAACAACTTTTTGTTATCGGTATTGCCATTGATAACAAAGAGCTAGCCACTAATAGATTTCCAGCCCAATGTTTTCGTTATTGTTATCGATAAAACCAGCTGGCAGCTATCAGGCACCCCATTGTTTTCGTTATCGTTATCGATAACATATCAGCTACTGATAGGCAGTAGGTAGCAGAACTTGCAAAGGCGATCGATATCGTTATCGATAACAATCACACACACATCTGTTACACTTGTCATTAGTTAGGTCTTGCAAATGCTTTTATTATCGTTACAGCTATCGATTACAGTGCTAGATGTTCATACAAGTCCAGCCTAGGTATCGCCCACAACGCCCCATCGCTTGCAATGCAACCACAACTGCACCACACGCACACTAGCACACTCGCCAACCAATACACTCGCACACGCACACATGCACACACGCACACACACACACAGTCTCTCTCTATCGCACACACTTAGCCATAGACATACCTCTATACCTAATACATGTACACCTCATAGACGTTGTAATTTGTCAATTAATTCATTGCTCGTATTTTTGGGTGTTTTTTCATTTTGTTTAGTCGCAAATAAACAAATCAATAAAATTCCAATTATAATTAATAATTAATTTCTTTTCTCTCTCTCTCTCCCTTTCTCTCTTTCTCTCTCTGTTTCATTCTCTTTGTCTTTGCTGCTACGCCAAATGGAAAAATAAACGAAATAAAAATA